TAAGGAGCCCTGGTTGTGTAATGGCAAGGTCCGTAGTTCAAAACCATCAGCTGCTCCCCGGGAGAAAGATGAAGCTTGCTAGTCTTTTACACCCATAAAGAGTTACAATCTTGGAAACCCACAAGGGGGGCAGATCTAGCATGTCCTAAAAGGGTAGCGATGAGTTGGCTTCAACTCAATGGCAGGGAATTTGGTATGGTTTGGGCATGCACTGAGGGTGTTTTCTTGTGAACTGCAAGTTAATACCGTGTCTTCTTGTTTCAGCCTATAGGGAAGGTTCTCCTAAAGGAGAGGATCAGTCATTGTTTTTGGATAGAATGCTTTAAAGCTGTTGAGCAATCATGTTAGATATTCTTAACATTTGGCATATTCATAGAAAATATAAGAGATGTGAATGAGTTTGTTTCAGGTGTGTCCAAAAATTTTTCTATTTTGAATGAATCCTTGTCAGTTATGTTTGTTAATTACCCTTTCTTCTAAATACTTAGTTTTGGAAGGAAAATAGCTAGTTCATTATAGGTTCACACTGGATTTCACCAGTGTGAATACTGGTTAAAAGTGCATGTGGTTAGACCATTATTAAAGAAACTGAAACTATTGTATACAGATGTTTGAATTCTCCGTGTTTTGGTCCACAGACTTTTTCATTCATTCATGAACTTGAAGAAGATAATTGGAGATTCTGCACTTCTTCTTATTTTGAAGGACAAGGCCACATATGACTCTTACTCATCTGATAACTTCTTAGAGATGGTTAGTTGATACCTTTTATCCCCACAGAAATGTGAATGATTGTTTTATTGTTGGATTGGGGTGAGGAGTTTAATGAAAAGCATTGAAATACAATGATATGTACACTATTTGAAAGATTTTGTATCAATTTATATGACTCACACATGTCCTTTTTGTAAATGTGTCTGTATGTGACTTCTGACTTGTATTTTGTTCGGGCAAGCCCAAATCCAAGGTCACTTGTGACTAAGCCTCAGCATGAAAGTGAACACATTTGTGTGATAAGCATGTGTGCTGAGCTTTCAGGGAAGTACTAAGGTAGTACTGTAGGGTAACTCAGCCAGCGTTATAATTCATGATTTTTCTGAGTTTTAATTAAAAACCTCTTGGCATTTAAATTTTGTCAGTCCTTAATCTTTCTTGCTAAACTTGAATTTCAGTCATCTTAAATTGTCTTTAGATTTTGAATCCATTAAGTACTATTGGCTCTGTTGAGATGTATGTAACAATACAGCAATGATTGAGGAATTAGACTAGCTGTTAGTTTCAGCCCCCGCACCTGGTTACACGGACCTTAAAATTTTTACCCAGCATCTCTTTGCCCTCATGCATTTATCTTTAATATGGGATGACATTATCTGCCCTGTGTTTTTGTGTGAGAATCACATGAACTAATAAAACACAAAAAAGGTGTAGAATACAGAAAAGAGCTATTGACAGAATGGTTCATTGAACCCTCCTCTGGCACCTAAGATATTTTACATTTGTAATGTATTTATCTATAGTATCTGTGGAGAATAGTGAATAGAGCTTATTAGCGAATGATACACTTTGAAATTTTGCATGTAATTTGAATTTACATGTCAGGAACCAGAGATGAAGCTTCAGTCTTTCCGTATAATAATCAAGTCTTGATTATATATTTTCATATTAATGTAAAAATGCATGAAATGGACATGTATATATCTTAAGGATATGAAATGCCTACACACATAAAGTAGCAAAATCCTTTGAAGAATTGTCCCTAGAACTCTTCTTGACTATTTATTTATTTATCTCTCTTACCTATTTATTTTTGGTAGTTTGAGCTACCTATTATGGATTCTAAGGAGTGTTGGTGGCATAAGGGGTTATATGTTGAACTGCAAGGTCAGCAGTTCTAAACCACCTGCTGCTCTGAGGGAGAAAGATCAGTCTGTCTACTCCTGTAAACATTTATAGCTTTGGAAACCCAAAGGAGAGTTCTAGTCTGCCCTATAGGATTGTTATGAGTTGGAATAGACTTGCTGGTTGTGGATTTGATTTTTATTATGGATTCTAGTCCCAATTTGGTCTTTATTGTCCTACAAATCAAAATACATCTATGTAAACACACACACACAGAAGATTTTTTTAAATTTCAAAGATGGATGGACTCTGACCTTGATTGGTTACGCACCTGACTGCCAGCCAAAAGATTGGTGGTTCAAAATCACACAGAGACACCTCTAAAAGACAGGCATGCATCCCTTGTGCTGTGCACATGTGGGCTCTCCAGAAGTCGTGGTCATCAATAACTAACAAGAAGAGAATGTTCTTGGAATGGGGTGTTTCCCCTTCTTTTTGCCTTTCTTCGAGCGTCTTGCAGGGTTCTACTACATACCTCATTTTGAAATTTGCATTTCAAAAGTAAAACTTTTTTTTAAACAGGATTTGGAACAAAAATCACAAGATTCTCTGCCACAAAAAAATATTATAAGGCTGAGTGTGGAGCCAAGGTAAGTACATACTTTAGCATTTAGTACTTTTCAGGTTTGATTTTTGTTGATTTTAATGGTGCTCTTCTCCAAACAGCATATATTTGGGGCAGTATCTCTAAATTCAATATTTTAACTTTTAAAATTGTGGCAGGAATGAGGTTTCTCCTATCAGACCGAGCTTGAGAGTAAGGTCTTTATCATGTTTGATGCTAATAGTTAACAC